GGGGGGGAGTTCTCAATTTACCAGGACAGGATCGAACACTGTGCTAGTCATACTGCAGTCCAGTTGCATGTGGTGTCATTCCTACTCTGTAGTTGAATATATATATTTTGTCTCTGAGGCGGCTCTACTGAGCAGTTTTTTCCTCTAGCAGAGCACAGTAAGGAGCACAATGCAGAGAGAGAATTCTCTGGCACACTTAGTCTTAATCCCCACAGTTATTTATTTTCCTAGAATTATTCTCTGAACACAGAGAAGGATGTGAGTTAACAATAAAGCACTTCTTGATCTTATTATATAAATCTGGAAAAAGGATCTCAGAAGGACGTATCCTGCTGCTTTGCCCACCCACCTCTAGAGTTTCTCCTCTGCAAAACCATTTCTTGTGCTCTTTTCAAAAAAATGAGAAAAAAAAGTCAGAGATGGCAAACAAAGAGAAAGGTTATTCCAGGCAATTTTTTGGTGTTTAAATAATCTGGGGCATGGATTTCAAGGGAGAATATCAAGCAGAGAGCAAGTCAAAATAAAGATTTCTCAAAAGTCTCCAAATCTCAAAAGTTTTAAAAAAGGGACTGACTGCTCAGCCATTTCCCACCCTTCAGATTCTCATATATTTCTGATGCTCCTCCATAGCCCTGAGGAGTGTTTTGTCTCTCCTATTAATGATCTGGAAAGCACAACCAATTTATTTGCCAAACTCTGTTCATCTCAGGGTAATAAACAGGTAATCAAAGTGTCTTCCTTTTGAGACATGAAGGAACACTGAGCACTAATAATTTCAAGTGCAGGTACAGGTGATACCTTTATTGGACCATTAAAGAAAAAAAATAAAGTGAACTTTCAATTATATTTCATCTTCCTCAGGCTGTGCACCACGTTCTTGTGGGTAGCTCCAAAATTATAGGTTTATATTAAAATCCCAAAAGTTTTATGGCCACTGTTGGGGGCAAGGTGTAGCTTCTTGGATGGAGATTGCCGTAGTCTCCAGTCTGTAAGACGCTATGTGAGAAGGGTGTGCTTTCACTCCCCTCTTTAGCCAGTGGTTTGGAATTTATGTCCCATCTCTCTAAACAAAAGATGACCAGCATTCTGCGCCTTTTCCTTTCCCCCTTCATTTGAAATGCAAAGAGTTTCTATTTGGCTAGGGAAAACAAGCAGGATAACAGACACATGACTTTAATATTAACATATAACTTTGGGGCTACCCACGAGAACGTGGTGCACAGCCCGGGGAAGATGTAGTATCATCGAAAGCTCACTTTATTTTTTGTTTTGTTTGCTTAATGGTTTGATAAAGGCATCACCTGTTCCTGCATTTGTATTGTTTTGAGGATCATGTGGCCTTTTCCTGATTTTTTTCTAATAATTTCAGGAGGTCCCAGTTCAATGTAAGGAGAAAACTTGGCTCATTATGTCAGAGGGTTTTGGCAGGAGACCTGACGTGCATATTGCTCTAGCTTGTTAAAATGTCCCTGCTTTTGGAAGCATGTGTTACCTTAAGGCTACCATGAAAGGAACACAAATTGGAGGTTGCTGGTGGTTTTGGCAAGAAAAAAAGTGACATAAAAAGCTGAATGAAGTGTTATGTTCCTCGAGCAGAAATTGTATGTTTGTGAGGTAAATAGTGATGAGTTTTGTTTTGTTTTTTGTTTTGTTTTGTATTTTTAGGTTTGAAAACAAAACCAGACCCCTTCAAAGCACCAAATCCTTCAATCCATTCATCATGGGCAATTGAAGCTGTATGTTTCATGGTTGCCCAACCAAACATTCTAGTTAAGAGAAAAGTGGTGATTGTGAATAGAACATGCTCTCAGAATGGAAAGGTCATCGTCCCTTCATGCTGTCCCCAGCTATCTGAGTTTTTAAAAACTCAGTGAGTGGGCATGTTTGTTTCTTCCCCATCCATGAGTAAAACTGAATTTTTAGGTATTCATACTGGTCACTTGAACACTGTCATTTCAAGTGCTTTATGTGAGCACTGGAGATTACAAATCTAGTTGTTCAAACCCCACCCCAGTTCTTTATAAAATCCTCTCTCATCTGGCCCAGGCTGGTCATTTTTTCTCCAGTATTCCCACAAGTACTCACCTCCTTTTGTGCAGAAATGGTGTCGCCAGTTTAAAGTTTGTGAATTACCTGTCACAATTACATTTATCCGCATAGTATAATTGAATAATAAATTCAGCCTGTACTGTGTGTAAGATTTGTGTGTTTGTACATCCTAGCATATTGGCATCCAAACCAATTTTTGGAAATGCTGATTGCAATAGACGTTGTATGCTAAAAGGAGAGATTGGACAGAAGCCTAGTGGACAACAGATAAACTGCTTAATTTCTGGCCAGAGGAAACGATGTCATAGCTGCTGTTTATATGATATTCTCAACAGGAGTCCATCGAATACCTGCTAAAAGCTAATTATCAGGATGCTTATCTGGGGCTTTTGGGAAACTGAATTAAAATTTTCTGTTATGGATTTAATCAGTTTTTTTCTGCTGCAACGAATGAAAAAATTGTTAACTTCTACATTTTTTTGCGATGTATTTGGCAATGAAAGAAGTGTGAAGTGTGAAGTGAAGGGCTGTTTTTCCCATTATATGACCTTAAATCTGGGCTTTTTACCAATTGTACATTCATCAGGCCTACAGTTGGCCCAGATGCTTTGTACAAGTCAGTCATATGTTTTTGAATACTAATGGTTTGTTGTTTTTGCATTTTATATTTTCAAGTGCATGCTTTGGACACATTGTGTGAAGACATCCAAAGAGTGAAAGCCAGGCTCACAAAGGCTCGTCTGTGAGATTATCATTCCTTGATGGACCACATCAAATCATGCCCCCAGTGTAGCTAGTTTCCAGTGGGGTAGAGATGGGAGAGATGTGGATACAGTGAGAGACGAGGACTCTGGAGAAAAGGCTCCGACTCCCCACTCAGCTGTTGAAACTCACTGGGGGTGTAAAACTGGTAAAACCACTCCTTAAATATCTCAGTTATTATTAGAGTTGCGATGAGTTGGTTCCAACTTGATGGCACATAATTAACTTAAAATGGGTTCATCCCATGTCCTCCCGGGCTTATTGCCATCAATTCTTCCTTGCATATAAAAGCCTCTCTCCCTTACTATTATATGAAAACTTACCTTCCATCTTGAATTATTCTAGGTATACTTACATTACTTTATGTGTTTGAGAGGCTGCTTCAGTATAAAGACTGTCTACAACTAGCATGTCATACGGAGCATTTCAGTCAACAGTTGGACTGTGGAAGATCTTGTTGACAGGTAACCATGGCACTCAGTTGAAACACTCCACTCTGTAAGTTCTCGACTAATCAGAGAATTCCTGTTACAGAGGATACCATGCCTAATCTTCATTTTGTAACTTGCAAAAGTGACCTTTCTTCTTTTTGTCTCTTGGGTAACTATGGCTGACAGGGATTGCTCAGCTGTGACTCCTGAAATATCAGTTTCAAAATATCCTCTGTCATGTCATTCACTGTTATGTCCCATATCTTTTCACATAACTCCCCCTTTGTAATCATGCTTGTCTACCATCTCTTTCATTTCTATATTTCTCCAGTATTGGTTCACCAGTTGCCTACGTAGCTCCTCGGAAAGAACTCGCCTCAGAGTAGGTAAATGCATTCTTACTCCCCCCCCATATGGAATCCCAGAAATCAAACAGAAAAGGTGTTGTGAGGACTACCAAAACCTATGTCAACCAATGGCAACTAAAAGCTCGTACTTTGCAGGAACAATCTTATCACCAATTAAGTGAATAATTGTTGTTTTACTTTTTGTTGTGGAAAAACTTGAAGGAGTCTTTCCCCACCCTCTTTCTCACACTGCTCTGTACCGCAGTGTGAATGTGGTTTCTAAATAAAAAGGTGTAAAGTTTGAGGCCTCCATTTCTTTTGCCATGGGTTGATGAGGTAACAAAAATAGCACAATGTAAAAGCCCATTCTAATTTACATAGGAGACCTATGCAATGCATTATGATTGTCTTCTGCACTCTATTTTTCTATTGTGGGAAGAGCATTGCATCAAATTCAATTCAGGGGGAAACCATGCATAACTGTTTTGGACAGCAGGTTTTCCAAATTTTTTCCTATAACCTATTTGTGTGTGTGTGTTTAGTCGTTTAGTCGTGTCCGACTCTTCGTGACCCCATGGACCAGAGCACGCCAGGCCCTCCTGTCTTCTACTGCCTCCCGGAGTTGTGTCAAATTCATGTTGGTTGCTTCGCAGACACTGTCCAGCCATCTCATCCTCGGTCGTCCCCTTCTCCTCTTGCCGTCACACCTTCCTAACATCAGGGGTTTCTTTCCAAGGACTCTTTTTTTGATTATTTTTGATTATTAGTAAAAAGTTACACTGAAATATAGATTGTTCTTGAAGCTGAATGTCAATTGCTCTATTTTATTGGCTGCCCCGAAATAATACTTTTTCCCCCCTTAGGGTTTATTCTGATGTACAAAACCCTGAAAGCTTCCTCTAGGAAGGAGACGGGAATTGGCAGGAAGGGAGATTTTTTGTTTTCTTACCTGAGGTAGTCCAAATAGGGTCACTTAAGGTGCCTATACCATGTGGGTGCAAGGATGGTTCCACACACCTCTGTGTGACCATATCTGACTTTAAGTAACCCAATTTAGCCTGCTGTAATTGAGATGTCTAGCCAAGCCTTCTGTTGATCAATTCTGTTGAGAAATTAAATGCTTGAAGAACTGCATTATGGCAGTTCTTACAACAATCTTATATGATAGGCCAAAATTATATCTCCCCAATAGATTAAGGATAAGGCCTAGAGACCTGTCTCATTGCTAATATGTTCCCTTCAGCTGGAAAGCTCCATCTACTGGCCTTGTTGGCTTCAGTTTCATCAACTAAAAATTGCTGCCAGAATTTCTCTTTATTTCACCTCAGCAATAAGCTTCCTACTTTTGTTTTGAAATTCATGAACTATTAGTATTTTTGAGGATAAAAATATGTCCCTCTGAACAAAGTAGCCTGGTTGAAGCAATTTCAGTTTTATTAATGCAAGCACATCAAGTTCAAACACAGAATATCCTGCTTTATGGTACAGCTTTATATGAAGCAATTCAGCTTTGAATAACAGAACGCAGTTGTTGAAGGAATGTGTCAAATCAAAGAAAATAATAACAACAAAAATCCATGAAGAAATGGCACTTTTTCAAGTATATACTAGAACCAATTGACCACTGGAGTGCACATTCATGTAAAAGCTTTTTTTTTAAAAAAAAAAATCTTAAATATGCATAGAAAAAAAGTGTTCCAGAACTCCATTTCAAATATATCTCTTAAATTTAAAGCATCCCTTTGCAAATTTCAAATACATTAACAAAGCTGATATACAGTCCCATTCATAGTGTTTGACAATGCTGCTAGTCAGGACATCTCTGAAAGTGCAAAAAACCACTGTAATAATACAGTATAAATATTCTCTTTACTCCAGGGCTGAAAATCAATGCTTCAGCATGGGGAAAAAATAGCAGCAGATCACAAATAAACAAAGCCACTAATTAATTCTCTCTCACTGTGGGGCTGTCTTTCTGTTAATATGAAGTATTTCTATTTCTTCTTTTAATTTCTATAAATTAACTCCAGTTTAGTTCATTTATTTTGCCTTGTTCTCTGATCAATCTTAATGGTAACAGAAAATGTTTTAGGAAAGCACATTTGCTGTTCAATAAACCATATGGATATCTTTCCAGATAAAATATATTTACTAGAAATCAGGGGAAGTTTGGAATGCTCCTTTGTTATGTTTTGCCTTTGGGTGCTATCTTTTGGACAATAAACTTGCAAATATCACAGCGTATTAACGGCCCACTTGGGTTTTATATATTCCCATACAGTTTCTAATTTTCTCAATGAGAACTATCATTGAGGAAATCAGAAAGTACAGTATAGAGGAATGTATAAATATCAATTTATCTACAGGTCCTTTTCAGCCTAGTGCTCAGTGATGTTTGTTTTTTGTCTCTTGATTTAAAAGTTAATTCAAAGGAAGCTGGATGGTAAGAATATGCTAATTTTTAAATAAATGAGAAACCTGGAGTCTAAATACAATTCATACAGTGAATCAGCCATGTACCGAAAGACATTTTAAAACCGTCTAGCTTCACTGATTTTATACTATGTTACTAATTGTGGTCTATAGGGTTTGTTTAATCATCTTATGTTGATTTGGCTAAATGTACTAAAGCTGTCTTTACTACCAGGTCATTCAATTCTATGCAATAAATTTGGTTGTTCTGAGAAGGGTGGTGGGTCCACTGGTACTGGCTGATTCACATATGATGTTGCTGGCTTAAAAATGGAATCTGAACCTCTTCTATACAACGCTTTGCAATGCAAGTCACTTCACACAATCTGATGCTACTTGTATAACACAATCTGATGCTACTTGTATAATCAAGAGATGTAGCACATGTGTGTGACTAGTGATTCATTTGTTCAGTGAGCCGAAAGGAAAATAGTACAGCTCTTAGCAGTGAGGAATAAAAATATCAAGAAACAATGACTGATTAGAAAACACTTTTCCAAACCAATGTAATAAATTATCAAGAGAAGCACGTAAATTCATAACAATTTGAAATTACGGACTATCCAGCTGTAATCAAAATATGGTGGATAGCCTGAATAAATTTTGAAAACTTTTTACCCCAACAATTCTGTAACAGCAACATTTCATGAAGATTTAAGATACTGAAGGGCAAGTTCACCTTATCAATTTTATCGCTAATATTTTTTTCACCATAACTTGATTGCGAGAAATTGCTTTTATATCACGTGATTCAACCTGACACCTGCCTATTTGCCTATCAATGAGAGAAGCATAGAGGCAGCAACCTTTCCTCAAATCTATAAACTCTTGCTGGATGATAGGCTAACCCTTAAACTGATCACCAACCACACCTTACGTCAGTCACGTTTCTTTCAAAAACATCCACGTAAGCTTCTGTTGTGACATTATAGTTGACACCAACCAGTTTAACTTCAGTATTACCGGCTGAAATCCTGTTGCTTATTGGAAACCATATCATAACTGTTTCTCCCTGCTGAACAAACAGTTAAAATACTTGGGGGCACATGTGTCTGTGCTAGAACTGCTTAAGGTACAATTTGTTTCTGGATATAGTTTTTGAAATCATAGCTATGTTAGTCTGCACAAGCATTTCAACAATGCTTTATGGAAAGGGAAGTTACAATTTGACTTGCATTAAGCAATAGGATTTTGGCTAATATTTCACGGAAACTAGGACAAAAATCTTGCCCCATTTGCATTTAAAATCCCTGATAAACAAAATGTACATGTAAACTAAAGAGTTCTCAGAACTAGTAAAACTCCAGGGGAAGGTTGGAAGGAGAGAAGAAATATTTAGCTATTGTTCAATTTTACCTTGTCAAACCTTATAACAAAAATAAGTTCTGCTGCACCATTATTGATATACAGACAGGTATACTCTAGTTCATGTGCCATATCATCCAGTTTATTTACAAAGCTATAGCTGGTTTTCACAGACATCCACATTTTTATTTTGCTTGCTTCCAACCCAGAGTTGCAGAAGGTACGCTAAACGATTTCAGTACCTCGTTAAGGCACTATTCTCTGATGTAAGAGGGAAGCAGCCTTGCGGCTAGTGTTTTTAAGGCCAGTCTGAAGGAAACATGGAATCCTTGTGCTGAACTGGGGCAGTTGGTTAGTTGCAACTGAGAGCCAGTTTCGACAACTGGCAAAACGGAATGTGGACATTTGACCTAGGCTGAATGTCTTCAAGCTACAGGTGATAGCATCTCAGGCTAAATCTAACTAGTAGTCACAGCTACAGTAGAGACAAATGGAGGGGACATGTTAAATAAATACTTATGTAAATCCCACTGAATCAATAGGTCTACTGAAGTTGGGACTGGTAGCTGAATTTAGCCCTATATGTTTGAATGTGCCCCATGATAATTAACTCATAGTGTCTTGGATACAAAGAAGAATTGACATAGAGAAGACCAGAAAAATTTCCTCCCTGTCACATACTCTCTGATGGCCCACAAAGGCTTCTCCTGAAAGGGGGTGGTAGTAGAGCTCCTGCAAAATATAAGAAATGTACAGGGCCTTCTGTGTATGAGGGAACATGAAACCTTTCTCTTCCATGCTCTTTTATATTAACCTATCTTATGATCTGGGTGCAATTTGATTTGATTCCGCCAGCAGCCTATTACATCCCAGCCCACATTTTTCTGGAGAGTTCTACCACACAGGATTTTTGAGGGCCATGAGCTGTGAAAATGTGTAGGTTAATTTATTTTAAGAGTCAAGCCATTCAAATTTACATATTAAGGGCTTGTGTTCTCCATAATGTTATTTTTCTCCTTACGTAAACATTCAAACAAATGCCATCCCTTAACATCCATGGTGGATTGGCCAGGTAAAGCTTTAGTGGTTAATTCTCCTGACTGTATAAAAAAGCCCTGTATGCACAGTTTTCAAGAGCTTACAAGTCAATGATGCAAGGAAGGCAGTTTCAAAAAAGAAAAAGAGGGATGCCAAGAACAATGTGGATAAATTCTAGAATAGTAGCAGTGTAAAATATATATTGTAGCAAAACAGAAACATGTGGCACCTTGAAGACTAAAAAATGTATCATAACATAAGCTCTCAGAGAAAAATGTATCCTTCATCAAATATGATAAAGGAACAATGAGATGCAGCTAGAAAGCTGGTTTTGCCCTCACCTTCTTTTCTGCAGCAGTAAGGGAGCAAAAGAAGCAAGGTTTTCAAAGTATCAGATGACCCAAATGGGATGGCAGTTTGACTAGGGCTCTCTGCTTTAGCATCAGTAGTGTAGTTGTCAACCATGGCAAATCTCTGCCAATGTTGGAAAATGTCCTTGTGTTTCTTAGGTCTTTAGAAACCTTACTGATTTTCCAAATGCATCAACTCATGTGATGGAATTTATTTTTCAGTAAGTGTTGGGTGGATCAAGGCAAGGTGGAGCACTGAACTTGTAGTCCATCTGAAGTGCGCATGTATCAGGTGGAAGAAATCAAACATGAAAATAAAGATCTGGATGTCATTTGAAGAAGATATCATCATGATTCCATCCCCACAGTCCATTTCACAGGGCCCTGCCCTTGATTTCATCAACTTTAAAAAAATCCTTCATTTTTAAGTGCCTTAAGGTTGATGTGGAATATTTAGCAGATTTTTTTTCTCTTTTGAAGTTCATAAAAGATATTGTATATACAAAACAGACCCCAACCAGTGAGGTCTTCCTTTCTCAAACCATGTCATTCTGGATTTAAAAACAATGTTCTTAGGGTGTGCTTTAGAATCTGCAAAAGTCCAAAATCTCAGGCTCTGTTGAGCAGAGTTGTCCTAAAAATAAAATAAAAAATAAACAGCATGTCAGCAACTCAACCAAAAACACACACCCTTAAATCAGAAAAGGCAATTCTATCATGGCAATCAAGGTTCAATTCTGAATGAATGAAAATTCACCAGCATCTACCTCCTTTATGAGGCATGCTTTGGGATCTCCGTCACTGCATTCTTGTTCCTTTGGGAGCAAATTGTCAGCCCTCAATCCAAGTGCTGACTACAGATCACAGATCAGATGTTGGCTGTTCAGTGCAGACATTCTTGTTCCCAGGTTGAAAAGCAAGACTGCTCTTGCCACAGCCACCTGATACCCTTTGCTCTTAACAGCTTCTAGACCCAGCTGAACACAATGGCAGAGGTGTTCTCTGGTGTATGGTTTACACATGTGACAAAATGAGGTGCAAAATAGACTGTGCCACATTGAGATGCTAGAGGGATGGCCACATGGCTTCAGACTACAGGTGGATAAATGCCATTTTCGAGGCTACTCCCAAACACACCACAAATGCACTTTACAAGCAAGACAAGAGTATGTCGGGAAGAAAGTTTTTGAACATTGTCCTTTGCTTGCTGTGCTGTTTTTCTATTTGCAGGGATGTTTTAATGAAGGAGAACATTTAACTTTTGTGCCGGAGTAAATCATTCTATTCTTTTGTTCTGCTCCACATGTAGATTAGTCCCTTGTGATGGAGAATATCAGATACTAGAAGAAGTTAGAGGAATTCTGCACAGCACTACTAAGTGCATTATATTTTCAGTATAATGGAAAAGCTTCCTTAAACATGTGGCAATGTACCAATCACATCAGTACTAAGGTTATAATAAACTTTTCTCTTTGATTAATTTATTAAGCACACAACAGAGGGAAAAATTATCTCATGTGATAGCCTGAAGTGGTATAAACTGATAGTGTAGTCATGACAAGCCACCTGCCTTTACAAGTTCCTTTGTGCCTGCCTTGTGTTACTTCTCTTAGAATCTGCAGATGTCAAGTGCTACATTCTTCAAAAATACCTGTTGAGAGAGACCACTTTGCCCCAAGATCCCGTGGGGATGGGATGGTCTTACCCTCTCCCCAAGCAACTGTTTTACTGGTATTGCCTTAAATTGACTTAATCCATTTGTGATGATGCTATTTTCTAACACAGCACTCAGAAAAACTGCTACCAAGAAAGAAAAGCCCATCTCCTTCACGGGAGACTACTGGGAGGAGGAGGTCCTCTGCAGTGATAGGCGAGCTGTTTGCCCTCCCTTAACAGTTCTCTCAGATGGTCTTTATGTGTGCCTTTCAAAGCAGGGAGAGGCTAGGAAATTGGGAGACTACTGGGAGGAGGAGGTGATAGGCGAGCTGTTTGCCCTCCCGTAGCAGTTCTCTCAGATGGTCTTTATGTGGGCCTTTCAAAGCAGGGAGAGGCTAGGAAATCTTTATGTGGCCTGGATTTTAGAGTTCTTCATTGTGGCCTTTGTGAATGCATACAATAGGGTAGGAAATCCTTATGTGGCCTGGATTTTAGAGGCTTTTACTGTGCACCTCTCCTCCAAGGACAGCATTTCTGTATCTGAACCTGGCAAATGGCGATGGTTTCTCTACTTTGCAGAACATGTACATTGACTCGTGTGTTGCATTCTGAAGGCCCCTACGACATAGGGCGGCTTACAGCTCAGAAATTGTAAAAGGCCAAGAAGGTGGGCTTTGTTACCTCAGTGTCTTCCAGCTGTCTTTTTCCATATGGTTTTCTGGACCTTCACTTTCAAAAGATGCAATAAACAAAGCTGAAAGAGGAAAAAGGGCAGTGAGGCAATCAGCACAGATGTTGTATCTCTAATCACTTTTCTGTAACAATAATGTCCAAAGCTGTCAATTTGGGCCTAAAGATTGAAAACATTATTTGTTCTGATCTCCCTGCTATTGCATCAAGTATGGCCGTTACTAATTGAACCCACCCTTTTTCGATCTGGGCATCAACACAATGCCTTCGTGAATACAATGCAGCAACACTGACTGTCAACAGACTAACAAATATCTGTGCTCAAAACTGGATTCCTCACTGGAAGACAAGAATACTTTTGTGTTGTCATTCTTACACTGGTCTTGAAGAGGACTGCAAAATCCATGTTTTACAGGGGAAACAATACTTTTTCCTTTTGCATCCTACTTCATTCTATTCCCAAAAGTCACCAATGAGAGTGAGAACAATACTATGGCAGCTGTGTTGTAGTGACCATATTTTGTATGAGTAGTCAGAAATGTTACCTTCTTCACTATAAATAGGTGCGGTGAGCAGATAACTCTGAATTTTCCTGTCCTTCTCAAAAGGACAGTCAACCTGCTTCCATGTGTTAAAGTCATGGATTTGCCTCGAAATTTCCCAGAACTTCTGCATGAGAGAAACAAACAAACAAACAAAAAATAGAATATAAAATTAAATACAATCTATTAACAAGGGGGGAAAAGGAAACTAACACTGCATTACTCTTTTACTTTATTTCTTCACCTTGTGAATATTGGTCAAGGCCAGAACTGCAGCATTATCACAACAGTTGCAAATATTATAAGTACTTTGTTGCATTCTTATTTTTAATTAATTCACTACCATTACTTGTTGTTTAAAAATTAACACATCTCTCAAATGTGTTACTTATTATTTTTGAAGCAACAACTTAATGTTACTCATTGCACTAAAAGCCTCTCCCTCCAATTACAGTGGTGCCCCGCATAGCGACGTTAATCCGTTCCAGGATTAACGTCGCTATCCGGAAACATCACTATACGGAAAGGAAAACTCCATAGGAACACATTAAACTCCGTTTAATGCGTTCCTATGGGGGGAAAACTCACCGGTAAGCAAAGATTCCCCATCTGGCCGCCATTTTCGCCGCCTCGGTAAGCGAGGGCAGGGTGCGAAAACGCTGCGGGTGGCCATTTTCTGCACCCGGCGGCCATTTTGGAACTGTCAATCAGCTGTTTCCCTAACATTGCGATGTGAAGATCGGTAAGCGAGACGCTTACCGATCATCGCAATGTGATGTTTTCCCTATCCAAAACATCACAATGAGATCGCATTAGCGATCGCAAAAAATGTGTCACTATGTGGATTCGTCATTTAACGGTGCGCTCGTTAAGCGAGGCACCACTGTATTACCAGCCATTATACTACTATTTCTGTCAGTGACATTGTAATGCCCTTGTTGCCTCCAAAGGTCATCTGCTACAAGTAGTATCAGTACTTGTCACATGTTATTTTGAAGTTTAGACAGAAACTAAAGTGGGCAGCTCCTATACAACAGCCTCTGGGAGTATAGCAAGCTTGCCATTCAACCAGAATTGCATGGAGATGTTCATTCTACAGACCAAGGCAATCACCTCAGGTAACCCAATGGCAGTGGCTGTTTCTAAAGCTGTTGCAATTACGCAGGCACAAAACATATCTGCAGAAATGTCTCCATAGGGGCCAGAGTGGCAGAATGATATGCTCTGATATGTAAGCACCTTCTATTGCACCCTGTAAACACCCATGGTCCACTCTCCCCAATTGTATGAGGTTTCATACAATTACCACTACTAAGTAATCCCTATGGGCAGGAAATGAGATTTCATACAATTACCACTACTAAGTAATCCCAGTTTGATCACTAACTTGCCAGTCTTATGCAGTACTCAGTCTGCAGTATTTATGGAGGAAATCCTAGTCACATGCAGATTAGTCTGACTGGCACATTATACAGACAATTGAATTTAACATGTCCTGTAGGAAAATGACAACAGAACAGAGCCAGCCCTCTTTGAGAGCCAAAGCCATTCCCAAGAGCCAGGTAAAGAATAGGAATGCAGCACATACTGCTATGATACAGGGATTCACGTATCTGCTATTGTGCTGGAGTTTGAGTGGGGCAGTTCCCCACTAAAATAATCTGCTCAGATCCTCAAAAGTACACTATGATAACTTTTTGCACAAGCATTCAAGGTAAGAAGTAATTATATAGGTAATCCCCTTTCCGATCCTGTTCCTGCTTTCACTGCACATCTATGTAATATGTGAGGTTTCTGAACCATGCTTCTAAACAAGGTTTCCCTGCCCTTCGTCACATGCCCAACATGCAACAAATGCTTTTCTCCTGTAACAGAAATGCTTTCTCTATCCAGTGTTGCTTACCTTGAAGTTTATCTGCCCATTGGGCAAATGGTTGGTGTGTATTTTGTGTAGGAAGTAGATATCTTTAATGAAAAGGTTGAAAACAGGGATGACGATTTTCTCCCGGCTGCTGTGTGCTGTCTGGGATCGCTGTGCTGCTCCTTGAAGGGCAGTGCGATAATTACAAAAGTTGCTGGACGGGTCCATGTGATGCTGTTATTTAAAAGAAGACGTTAGGATGCCCATTAGAATAAATACATTTCTTGCTTGTATCAACTTATGAGTCAACTTAAGTGTTAGTACTTCCTTGGGATCCATTTCCTCCTACTGAAGCCTTTTACAAGATTTATATATTGTTCCAACTACTAACTGCCCGAGAATTACAAACTTGACATTCTCCACACAATTGTCCAGAGACAGAAAAAGTGATAATATCTGTCTTATGGAAAGCATCTACTTTTTTTTCTTTTAAGAGCACGTATCCAATGGCACCAAAAGGGAATGGGCAGGTCTTGGATATCCACCTACATACTGCACAAGTACAGTTGTGGATTTCATCCAGAACTTCTAATCCAGGGATTTTCAGGATCAGTGCACAAACCTATATGTATTAATTGGCTTGCTTTTCATTGATTTCTTGACAGGATACAAACAGACGGTCATATAAGGTTGTCTTAGATTGTGCAAGAAAGGATTGCTTCACTGAGTGCAATCTTTAAAACAACTCTTTCACCGACATGCAGTCCGATCCTAGTCCAGCTCAGCTTCCAAACAAAACGAAAGAAAGCAAAGGAAAAAAGAGTACTACTGCACAGAGGAGGATTGAGCTTGTCTATGATCACATGAATGTTATCTGCTCACTAGAAAACAGTGTGAAACAGACTATGACATAGGCATTCCGAAAAGCAGCCTGAATTGCCATCTGATTGCATCCTTTAGTATCTTGTACCTGAGTTATGATCTGTTTCCAGCGAAAACTGGTGTATTGAAATAATGTATATAAGGCACGGCTATGGTGGATGATGCATTCATCTAATACATAATGTACAACCAAGCACTGGAGGCACAAAGAATACATAGATGGTTGTTGTAGGTTTTTCGGGCTGTTTGGCCATGTTCTGAAGGTTTTTCATCCTAACGTTTCACCAGTCTCTGTGGCCGGCATCTTCAGAGGATAGGAGTTAGAACTTAGGGGACAGACAGAGTTCTAACTCCTGCCCTCTGAAGATGCCAGCCACACAAACTGGCAAAACGTTAGGAAGAAAAACCTCCAGAACGTGGCCAAACAGCCCGAAAAACCTACAGCAACCATCAGATCCCTGACATGAAAAAGTTCGAGAATACATGGAATATGTAGAATTTATGGTGTTTATTGTTTGCAACTAGGATGTTTCTGATTTGAGTCTTAGTGGAAGCCAATGTATAGGACAATTCCGGGTGAAAATTGAAGCATTACAGAAAATTTCTATGATTCAGGATGAAGCAGGTCTCCTTGTCCATACACCCCACCTTAGACTATGATTTAAACAACAACAACAACAATTTGAGTGTAGTTTGTAATAAGGATGGGGGGATTCATTGGATTCTGCAGTCTCAATGAAAGTAGTATTTTGCATGTCCACAGATTCCTTGCAAGAAAAAAACAAGCTCAGCTCAAGAATTCACATATTTACAAGGCTTGTAGGGCAAGTTCAAACTAACACGCCCACAACAGAAAGTGTGTATTTTAAAATATTAACAACTAAAATGAACATAATTATACAAATACTTCAGTCAATGGAAATAAGTTGCAAAAACAAACTGAAATGGGCACATTAGGGAAAATATTAAAAAGAACAGAAACAAGGGTGGAAAGAAAATGTAGACAAGATGCAGAGAAATTTCACAAAACCGAAATAGATGTTCACAGCTTTATGGAGAGTTGTTCTTGCTAAAGGTTGGCCATCTCCCTCCACCAGATGGCAGACTTCAATTAAAGATAAAGAAACAAATTCTATGGAAATCAGAAGTAAGGTGGAAAATAAAAACTCTTATTCAGGGCATTAGCTTCAGGGATTATGAGGGCACTAGTTCTATTACAGAAATAAAACCCCCGAAGCTTTTATTTTTAAGAAAACTATTTTATTTATGGAATGCTGAGAATGCTTCTGCCTTCTAGGCATTGGATTATAACTCTCATCATCTTTGGCCAGCATGTCAATAAGGGATGGTGATGGATAGAGTTCAACAACTGGGGGAAGCACAGTTTCCTCACCCCTGACTTCATTGGACAAAATCTGTTCAGAGGAACGTGCCTTTGTAATGAAAGAAATATACTATACAGTACAGTGGTGCCTCGCATAGCGAGGTTAATCCGTTCCGGATTAACCTTCGCTATAGCGAAACATCGCTAAATGGAATAAAAAAAGCCATAGAAACGCATTGAACTTTGTTCAATGCGTTCCTGTGGCTTGAAAACTCACAGTTCAGCGATGTTTCTTCATAGCGCCGCCATTTTCGCGCCCTCGTTAAGCGAGGGCAGGGCGCGAAAATGCGGCGCTGACCTTCCGGCGGCCATTTTGGAACCGCCGATCAGCTGTTCTCCCCGGCTTCGTTATGCGAAGATCGCTAAGCGACTCGCTTAGCGATCTTCGCAAAGCGAAAAAACCCCATAGGGGCCATCGCTGAGCGAATGCTCCAGCGATGGCCCAGAGTGCCTCGTTAAGCGATTTCATCGCTCAGCGAGGCACTCGTTAAGCGAGGCACCACTGTACATTGTAAATGTGAAGTTTCAGCAAGCTGCGGAAGGGTACCAAATATTTACCTCTAACACATCAAATTTGGCGGTTTTGACTTTGGACCACGTTTTCTTTAGCCGGGCTACAGGACTTAAGTTCATACCCGCTGAAAAGAGAAAGAAAACAAACTGAAACGTTTCAGTAATTCATTTAAAATGTTCCTGCAGCCAAAGCAGGCAAGGTATATTTAAGGCCGTGTCGGCCAAAGTGGGGATCCCTGTACATTGTTGGATTACATTTCCCAGTATTCCTTACAATTGGCTCTGCTGGCTAGGTAGTAATAGAAGTTGGGAGTCCAACTTCTTGAAGGCCAGATTCTGCTCATCCCTGATTTAGGCTCAACACTACATCGTGGTCTAGCTCAGGGAACATGTCTCATCCCACAATTCCCTTGACAATGGGATGCTAGCATTCAAAATATTAGAAAATGGATATGGAACCATGAATTCCTTTCTATCTTTCCTCTCTTCAGACTGAATTTTTCTTTGCCTACCATAACTGTGATTAAGCATTGCACCAGTGCTAGCAATAACATTAATGCTTAACTAACATCATTCTGAACTTTCAAAACACTGGATAAAAATTGTCCTTAAGAGAGGAACGTTAGTTTGCTAGTTTAACCCTAGTCTTCTTGTTCCCCTTACTTGGTGAATAAGAATGGGGAAATTTTTATTCTGAGGGAACAAAGAATCATGCTCTGTCTTCCTCTCTGATCTGATCTCCTGTGTTACTTCTGTGACAATCTCTGATGTTTTAAAGAAGTCAGAATCCTCAATAGCTGGATGATACACAAAATGTCATTTTCTCCTAATTCGTGAGTGATTCAAACAGCAAGTTTTGTTCTTAAGGGCTTTCCTTTCAAACAGTTCAAGTGTACAGAGAAAAAAGTGTTTAAACAATAAGAAGGGACAAATATGTATCACACACGCAGCCAGACAAACCAGGATTGACTGTAGCTTCCTGACTAACATAGTTAGTAGTAGCATAATTAGACTTGCCCTCTCATAATTCACCTAAAGGTTCCTGTAGGCCAGAGTAAGCTTCGAGTTTTCTTTTCCATGCCTCCCATTTATCTACTGTCTCCTACATTGTGATTATTTGCAGTCTTCCCCTTTGCAATATCTACACTGCCCATTTGTCATCCAGAGTACTGCATTTTCCGTGGGAAGTTGTATCTCCTCAGATGCCATTATTCTACTGATGCTGTCACACGCATTGCCCTCAGGTGTCTTGCAGAAGAGTACTTACAGATAATGGCCATCATTGAATTAAAGTTTCCAATGTTGAAGCACTCTCTGGCCACGTCAATAAAAAATTCCACTATTCTTGTTCGCTGCTTCTTCTTCACCACCTGAAATTAGAAAAGGATGCCATGAGCAGGAGTAGGGGAATTGCACTTACACAATAGAAGCCTTCCATTGCCGAGAATATAAAAACATTTACTTGGAAGAGGTACCAAGACTTCCTTCTTAAAAAAAAAAGAAGAAAGAAAGCCTTCAGGGTACTGAGTTGAGAACCCCTTTTTATTAAAAAGAAAGCTCCAATTAGACTAAAAATGATCTTGTAAGCTCTGTTTATTGCGGGATGCTGAGAATCTACAGAGTTATGTAAAAGGTGAAAGAAGGGTATTAGGAGGAGCTTCTCGTGAATTTAAATAATCTCCCTGGGGTGGCGGCGGTGGCGGAGGGAAGAATGCAGGCAGAAGAACTGTGGAGTTCAGAGTTTTGAAAAATCAAAAACCTGTTTCTCTTTAAGAAAATGTAAAAAATGCTATACAGGTGGGATGTGCTTAATAATAGAAGAGACTGTATGGCAGAGACCCTGTTTTGACAGGGTACTGGGGAACTGTAATCTGATTTCGTCAATATTCTATTATATCTGATGAGGGATATATCATGACCTGAGTTAAGGCATTAAACTTGCATCAAGTAAATGAGACTAATCAGCTTAAGAGCTGTTTTGTTTCTCCTTAATTAGTATTCACTGAATTTTCACTTGTGTTATCCACTTATTCTGTTGTTATCTCACAGTTTCTCCAAGGGACTCAAGGTGGTGTGCTTTATCTTTCCCAGAATCCTTAGAAGTAGAATTTGACAATTGTTGTTGGTTAGTCCTTAAGTTGTGTCCGACTCTTTGTGACCCCATGGACCAGAGCACACCAGGCCGTCCTGTCTTCCAGAGTTGGGTCAAATTCATGTTGGTTGCTTTGATGACACTGTCCAACCATCTCATCCTCTGTTGTCCCCTTCTCCTCTTGCCTTCATATTTTCCCAACATCAGGGTCTTTTCCAGAGAGTTCTTTCTTCTCATGAGATGAGCACTCACTGTTGATTTCCTTCAAAATGGCTAGGTTTGTTCTCCTTGCAGTCCAGGGGACTCTCAGGAGCCTCCTCCAGCACCACAATTCAAAAGCATCAATTCTTCGGCGGTCAGCTTTCTTTATGGTCCAGCACTCACTTCCATACATCAGTACTGGAAAAACCATAGCTTTGACTATGTCGGCAAGGCGATATCTCTGCTTTTTAAGATGCTGTCTAGGTTTGTCATCGCTTTCCTCCCAAGAAGCAGGCATCTTTTAATTTCGTGGCTACTGTCACCATCTGCAGTGATCATGGAGCCCAGGAAAGTAAAATCTGTCACTGCCTCCATATCTTCCCCTTCTATTTGCAGAACTTACAGAATATGACAACAAGTTCCCAATTTTCTCCCTGGCTTTCTAGATAAAAGGCGTATGTCAGATTAGGTTGAGAGTGGGCCCAAGAAAGTGGTCTGATTCAAGGTTTGAACCCATTATCTCCCTTTTCCAAGTCCAAGGTTCTATTCATTATATTTGCGCTTGTTCTTCAACACACAGTTAGCATGAACCCCTCATAACTGTAGAACTATCCTGAGCCACATTAATTACGAATGAGCAAATTAGGCATGTGCTCTAATCTTTAACATAGAAACAATGGATTTAAAAGCATTTAAGTTTGTTGAAGCCTGTCCCATCTTTTTTTTTTCCCCAGCATGCTCCCCAGAGGGAAAGCACTACACTGCATGCTTAGACGAACAGCTTATTTATGCAGTGATTGCTGCTGAGTTGCAGCCTGGCCTATTCTGTGTGTAATTAGCTTCTGAAAATGAATGTGTTCATAATACTTGTCAGTTACTGTTCACTGGCCTTCTTGATAGTGAATCAATGTTTGCTGTATGCATTATTTTCTTGTACTTTGTTTCTAAGGGCTAATGTATGTTTTCTACAGAACCTTGTGTAGGGAGAAATTATGCTAAAAGCTTTCTCCCTGATGTGCTAGGCTTTATGTATAAGGAATTTATTTTAGATAGTGGAGCATTCAGAAGTATCATTGCCCACCGAAGCTTCCATGATTGATTGATTAATGGATTGATTGATATCCTGCCTTTCTTCCAATCAGGGAACACAAGGTGACATAAAACACGTTAAACAACATAGAGTATATGTATAAAATCCCAATAAATTAAGAGATTCCCTTTAAAACAGAATTAAACCAAAACAATACTGTTTCAAACAACAATGTTAGTTTAAAAGGTAAAACAAATTTAAAACACTTAAAACATTTTCTATATTTTCCATGAAAGACTGTCACATGATTTTGCTATGTGACTTATAAGATCTTTTAATGCACTCAGAAGTGCACCATTGCTGGCCTGCCTCTTTCATCTTTCTCCACCACACTGATCATAAGTCAGGAAAATGATTTGATATGACATGTATTTGTATCAGAATTTAACATGGGTTTGGAATTAAAGGTGAGGTTGGCATACACCTGTTTATGTATGGCAAAGAAATAACTAATGAGGTAAGCCTAAATAGTCTGTATATTAGGTTTCGTAAGAAATTTATGCAAGGTACAATAAATTGGTTAGACATGGTAAGCATCCCATTGCACTGCTCCCACATACGATGTTTTATATATATGAAGCAGGAACTTTTTGTAAGCAGCTTTAGTGAAGCTGGCATCTTGGTAGCTATGGAAACTGCCATTTTCACGCCTACACATGGTAGATACTGGATAAGAACAGCACTGTTTGTTATAAGGCTGAGTGTGTTGATATGACTAAAGACTTTCCTGTGCTCTTAACTGAGGATGCAGTTTGTATATTAACAGAGCAAGCTGACTCCTGGCCCTCATCCCACATACCGTATTTGCCGGCGTATAAGACGACTGGGCGTATAAGACGACCCCCAACATTTCCACTCAACATATAGAGGTTGTTATATACTTGCCATATAAGACTGCCCCCTCTTCCGCACACCTTCCACACACCAAATAAAAGATGCTATTCATTGTCACCATTGCATGGCCGCAGCGCAACCGCAGCGCCTCCGGCCCGCCCCTGCATCTCCCTGTGACCGGCACTAGTGCGCAGGTGCGCATGTGTGAGCTCTGCGCAGACAAGGGGCGGGGCGCTGCTGCTTCCTGCCGAGCAGAACAGGCCGGTCACGGCGAAAAGGCTGGCACTCCTGTCTTGCTGCTGATGCTCACCGCGGCTGCGCTGGATACTGCGCGATACTGGAAGGCATGTAGAATGAGGTGGGCAGGCATTGGGAGGCTACTATGGGCACCGGGCGAGCATCGGAAGGCCACTATGGCCAGCCATGTCTATCCCAACTGAAGTGCACCCAGCGTATAAGACCCCCCCCCCCACTTGGAGGCATGTTTTTCAGGGCAAAAAAGTAGTCTTATACGCCAGCAAATACAGTAATTTCATAAATATATGAAGTCACAAAACTATGTTCTGGGCATATTGCATGAGATATAGCTGCTAGACCCTGAGGGGTTGCAACTGTAGTGTAGCTCCATGGGGTTTTACTACAGCATATAATGCTGGAGTGGCATCTGATGAAGCAGAGCAAAGCAACAGTCATGCCACCGGGAGAATGAGTTAAGTAACCTTTACTAGGCAGTATGAATCAAGTCAGAGTACCATGAAAATGAGTGCAGAAATACAAATAAAAGCTGATTTCCAGTGTCAACAAAACATTTTGCAAAGACTTGCATTTGGCACGAGAGACTGTGCTCACATGCAACAGCCCTTGAGACAGTCAACAAGAGGTTATTTTATTGGAGGTAACAATTCAAGTCTCACAACTTCAACCATGGCCGTTTGAGAGTTTATTGAACCACAATCTGAAACATCAAACACAGATTAACTGCTGATTGCAGGGACGTATTTTCTTGCAGCAGAACACTTGCCTTACAAATCTCTGTCGCCACCAACATGCTGAGACAATTAAACCAGTTGTCATAGGCCTCCAGATTGTAGGTTTTGGTAACATCACCTCGGCACTGGAAAAAAAAAACAGAGAAACAACTTGAACTAACACAACCACATATTAGGTTTGTACCTAGCAAAGCAAAAAAAACATGTTACTTTCAGAGCCACAGATGCAAAATCAATTCACCTTGCATTTTCCAAACACATATACTTAATCCTCTCTGTAACTGATAATAATTTGTGCAATGATTCAGGAATGTGATGGAGCCACAGCTCAAAATCCATTTTGCAACTAATTCTGTTTTGCTTATTCTGCTAAAAAACCCTTACCTTTTATCAGAAGCAGAATTTTATATACTCAGTTATGCCTCGTGTAAAAAAAAATCTTGCGGTTTTCAGACCTTTCTAGCAATCAATGTATTTCACATACTATTTCTTTTAAATGTCTTTCTGTATAGAATTCTGAACCCTTCCTCTATGTAGTTATTTGTACAGTTTATCTTACTTTCCTGGGGCACATCTGAATGTAGACGGTAATGTGCCTGTTATCTTCAAAGGCCTTTGGGAAAGATAAGAGGAAAAATATTCGCAGTGCAAAGTGCTAAATGCTTTTTGTGTGGTTAAAGAGATGAACTGCTAAAGCCGGAAGGACGCTCAGCTGCGGACTTGCCTGGAAGTGAAAGGAAAGTCCAATGCTGAAAAGAAAAAATACTGCATAGGAACCTGGAATGTAAGATCTATGAACCTTGGTAAGCTGGATGTGGTCAAACAGGAGATGGCAAGAATAAACATTGACATCCTGGGCGTCAGTGAACTAAAATGGATGGAAAGGGTGAATTCAATAATGGAGTAGCTCTCATAAACTATTGTGGGCAAGAATCCCATAGAAAGAATGGAGTAGCTCTCATAGTCAACAAAAGAGTGGGAAAAGCTGTACTGGGATACAATCTCAAAAATGATAGAATGATTTCAATACGAATCCAAGGCATACCTTTCAACATCACAGTAATCCAAGTTTATGCACCAACCACTGAAGAGGCTGAAACTGACCAATTCTATGAAGACTTACAACACCACGTAGAGCTGACACCAAAAAAGATGTTCTTGTCATTACAGGGGGACTGGAATATTAAAGTAGGGAGTCAAGAGATAAAAGGAACAACAGGTAAGTTTGGCCTTGGAGTTCAAAACGAAGCAGGGCAAAGGCGAATAGAGTTTTGTCAAGAGAACAAGCTGGTCATCACAAACACTTTTCCAATAACACAAGAGACGACTCTACGCATGGACATCACCAGATGGGCAATACCGAAATCAGATTGATTATATTCTCTGCAGCCAAAGATGGAGAAGCTCTATACAGTCAGCAAAAACAAGACCTGGAGCTGATTGTGGCTCTGATCATCAGCTTCTTATAGCAAAACTCAAGCTTAAACTGAAGAAAGTAGGAAAAACCACTGGGCTAGTCAGTTATAGGTAAAGGTAAAGGTAAAGGTTCTCCTTGACAAGTTTTGTCCAGTCGTGTCTGACTCTAGGGGGCGGTGCTCATCTCCGTTTCCAACCCATAGAGCTAGCGTTTCTCCGAAGACAATCTTCCATGGTCACATGGCCAGCACGATTAGACACGCAACGCTGTTACCTCCCCAGTGTGGTAGTACCTATTTATCTACTCGAATGTTTTGCATTTTGCATGCTTTCGAACTGGTAGATTGGCGGGAGCTGGGACAAGTGACAGGGGCTCACTCCGTCATGTGGATTCGCTGTTACGACTGCAGGTCTTCTGACCTTGCAGCACAGAGGCTTCTGCTGTTTCACCCGCAGCGCCCCCATGTTGCAAACATCAGATATAATCTAAACCAAATCCCTTATGAATACACAGTGGAAGTGAAGAACAGGTTTAAGGAACTAGATTTGGTAGACAGAGTGCCTGAAGAACTATGGATGGAGGCTCGTAACATTGTACAGGAGGCAGCAACAAAAACCATCCTAAAGAAAAGGAAATGCAAGAAAGCAAAGTGGCTGTCCAACGAGGCCTTACAAATAATAGAGAAGAGAAGGGGAAAAAAATGCAAGGGTGATAGGGAAAATTACAGAAAATTGAATGAAGACTTCCAAAGAATAGCAAAGAGAGACAAGAGGGTCTTCTTAAATGAACGGTGCAAAGAAACAGAGAAAAATAATAGAAAGGGAGAAAACAGAGATCTGTTCAAGAAAATGGTAGATATTAAAGGAATCTTTTGTGCAAAGATGGATATGATAAAAGACAAAAATGGTAGGGACCTCACAGAAGCAGAAAACATCAAGAAGAGGTGGCAAGAATAAGAGGGGATTATACCAGAGGTATAAGAGGAATTATATCAAGAACATCTGGATGTCCCGGACAACCCAGATAGTATGGCTGCTGACCTTGAGCGAGACATCCTGGAGCGTGAAGTCAAGTGGGCCTTAGAAAGCATGGCTAACAACAAGGCCAGTGAGGTGATGGCATTCCAGTGGAACTATTTAAAATCTTAAAAGATGATGCAGTTAATGTGCTACACACAATATGCCAGCAAGTTTGGAAAACTCAACAGTGGCCAGAGGACTGGAAAACATCAGTCTACATCCCAATCCCAAAGAAGGGCAGTACCAAAGAATGCTCCAACTACCGCACAATTGCACTCATTTCACACGCTAGCAAGGTTATGCTCAAAATCCTCCAAGGTAGGCTTCAGCAGTATGTGGACCGAGAACTCCCAGAAGTACAAGCTGGATTCCGAAGAGGCAGAGGCACTCGAGACCAAATTGCTAACTTGCGCTGGATTACGGAGAAAGCCAGAGAGTTCCAGAAAAATATCTACTTCTGCTTCATTGACTATGCAAAAGCCTTTGACTGTGTGGACCACAACAAACTATGGCAAGGCCACAAAGAAATGGGAGTGCCTGACCACCTTATCTGTCTCCTGAGCAATCTATATGTGGGACAGGAAGCAACAGAACTGAATATGGAATAACCAATTAGTTCAAAATTGGGAAAGGAGTATGACAAGGCTGTATATTGTCTCCCTGCTTATTTAACTTATATGCAGAATATATCATGCAAAAGGCAGGACTGGATGAATCCCAAGCCAGAATTAAGAATGCCAGAAAAAATATCAACAACCTCAGATATGCAGATGATACCACTCGATGGCAGAAAGTGAGGAGGAATTAAATAACCTCTTAATGAGGGTGAAAGAGGAGAGTGCAAAAAATGGTCTGAAACTCGACATTGAAAAAACTAATTTCATCACCTCCTGGGAAGGGGAAGATATGGAAGCAGTGACAAATTTTATTTTCTAGGGCTCCCTGATCACTGCAGATGGTGACAGCAGCCACGAAATTAAAAGACCCCTGCTTCTTGGGAGGAAAGCAATGGCAAACCTAGACAGCATCTTAAAAAGTAGAGACATCACCTTGCCGACAAAGGTCCGTATTGTCAAAGCTATGGTTTTTCCAGTAGCAATGTATGGAAGTGAGAGGTGGACCATTAAGAAGACTGACCACCAAAAAATTGATGCTTTTGAATTGTGGTGCTAGAGGAGCCTCTTGAGAGTCTCCTGGACTGCAAAGAGAACAAATCTATCCCTTTTGAAAGAAATCAACCCTGAGTGCTTACTGGAAGGACAGATCCTGAAGATAAGGCTCCAATACTTTGGCCATCTCATGAGAAGACTCCCTGGAAAAGACCCTGATGTTGAGAAAGTGATAAGGCAAGAGAAGGGGACAACAGAGGATGAGATGATTGGACAGTGTCGTTGAAGCTACCAACATGAATTTGACCCAACTCTGGGAGGCAGTGGAAGACAGGAGGGCCTGGCGTGCTCTGGTCCATGGGATCACAGAGTCGGACACGACTTAACGACTAAACAACAAAATCATATTAAATGATATTAGTTCTTGCAGTCTACTAGAAATTTGAATGTTCCCCATCTCACTGTAAATAACTAGTGAGAGACTCAGAACTGCTTAAAAACTCAAAAGAAGCTTAAAATTTAACATAATATAATGCTTATTGCTTAGGAGTTTAACGAAGGAGGCTCAGAATAATAAGCAGTTGTGTGAATTATATTTAATCTTTTGAAGCTGTTATGTCTAGACAGATCTCCAGTCTTATGCAGCATCCCAGAAGATTTCCTTGACCTCTGAATTCCATTAATTACAAAGTTGCAGATAAAAACTGGTTTGTAAGGAGTGCTTTAGATGTTCTCTGAGCTGTGTGGGAGCTGTTCGCAAACAGGCAGTTCCTACCCTGCTTCACACCAGCGAAAATGTCTACAGAGCATCTAACCCACCCACCCCAAACTGCTGAAGATGAGACACTAGCAGCAAATCCCAAACAACTGAAATTTCCTATTATCCCAAATGTTCAGGCTTTATGAAGAACGGCCATGAAAAAAACAGTTCCTTCTAGTTTGGGCTAGATGCATCTTGCCTTGAAACATGGAAATTCCATTTACTACACCAGCCAGCAGTTGTTTACAGACCAAATTCATTTAAAAAATAATGCAAAATGTGCTGCCACTCCATACCACATAAAGCACTCTCTGTGCAATTTACAAGTTAATTATGCAGCCTACATATTGACCCCCCCCCCAATGAGCTGGCTACTCATTTTACCAACCTCAGAAAGATGGAAGGCTGAGTGACCCTTCAGCCGGTTACCTGGGGTTGAACCCCAGGTCATGAGCACAGTTTTGGCTGCAATACAGCAGTTTGACCAAGAGGCTTTTACCGTTTAAAGAAAAAAAAAGTTTTTCTGATGATGTCCATAGTGGACATAGCTTGCTAGATTCCTCTCAGCTTCCCTGTAGTTAGTGAAATAATATCTATACTGAGGTCTGGCAAGCTTTAAAGGTTGAGGGGAGGGTAATCATTTCTTAAAGTTGGACCAGCTGTGGATAGCACCAACCCTTAAAAAAAAAGTCAGAGGGAAAGAAACTGACCAGAAGCTCACAGTTTTATAAAAATCTTTGTTAATTATTTCAAAAAAGTGCTAGAAGATTCTACATTGCAGTTACTCATGGAGCATCTACACTGTAGACGTAAACAGATGGAACTGTTGTTCTCTTTCCCTAGAAATCATAGGAACACTGCTCAGGGGGGTGGACTAGGCCCCTCTGACACAGAATCTTCAGTTCTTACCAAATAACAATTCCTAGACTTCTTTGTGGTAGCCATGACAGTTGAGCTGGTCCTTAATCACTATTTTGCTATTTATTCCACAGATAACCTGCCTTTCAACCAAACAGAGACATCCAAGACAGCTAAAGACACACATTAAAAACAAAATATTCATGAAGATGCAACTTAAAAATAAGTACATGAAAAGCGTTTAAAGAGACAGCATGAAAAGACATGTCATCCACCCAATTGGATCCTCTCAAAAACAGCCCAGTCTACCTGCCAAAGGCATGTCTGGATAAAAAAAAGATTGCCAGCTGGTGGGAACACAATAGAGGGGAAGCCAACCAAATCCTCCTTGGCATGGACTCCAAGAATCTGGAGGCAGTCGCCAAGATGGCACTTTCTTGCTCTAGACCTACCACTGATGACAGCAGGACTAAGGAAGACCACCCCGCCCCCCAGCAAGAGCTTAAAAGTCTAGGCAAGCTCATATGGGAGAATGTAGTGTTTAAAACATTCTAATCCCAAAGAGGTCATAATCAGGACACTGAAATGTGCCTGGAAACAGACCAGTAGCCAGTGAAGCTACTGTAACATGGGATCACATGCTGCTGGTCACCTAATCTTTGGTCAACTATTTGGTTGCAACATTCTGGGCCAGTTTCTGTATGCTTTTCAAAGGCAACCGCACACAGAATGCATATTAATAATCCTGTTTGGTTGTAACTGAGGTGTGCACATCTAAATATAGGTTTAAATTATAAACCTCTTTCTGTTCCCCCATTACCATTCCACTCATACTTTGCACTCACCTTGTGATTATCCAGGGAGTCCATGTGGCTGACTATCTGCATGAGATCTTCAGGATAAATGTTGCTCACTCTCTCCTGAAAACAAGAAGGGAACAAAAAAGGACTATCAAGATTTTGACCACACAGACCAGGAACAGAGCTATGCTGATGGGACTAGACCCGAAAAAGAAAAACGTTTAACACAATCAGGCTTCGGTTTCTTGACAGAAAAGTTGTGCTTCATAGAAGACTTAAATCACAAATGTGACACTCCTTGGCTCTCCTCAGGTCAGACTCCTGTGACTGCCTTGCGGTTGCTGTTGAGTAGGTAGGAGCAGCCATCTTGGATTCATTTGAATGCTAACTACCAACCAGACTGTTGATTCTCTCCCCTGTCAGCCTTCTTCATTGTCTAGCCCTATGCGGCAGTTGCTGAAATGTTCCATTTAGAATTCTGATGCTACTTACGTTAACGTCTTACTTTTGCTTCTCATACGTTATTAAAAAAAATTAAGATTTTCAACCCAGAGACATTTCCTTTATTTTGCCTATAGGAATAGTCTTCTGGTATTCTTCCTTGGTTATATTTTTTTACTTCAATCCACAGTTCTTTTGGTTCAGCAACGTGTGCTGGTTCGCTTATCAGCTGAAGAGGTGTTGTTTGGCACTTCACAGCCTCGTGTCCTCTGGCGGGTGCCCACTCGACTGGGTACCTGCTGGTGGGCTAGGAAAGCCAGGCCACTGCCACTGAGTGGGCACCTGCCAGAGAAGGCAGGGCTTTGAAGTGCCAAACACCTCTTCAGTGGACAAACGGACCAGCACCTCTACTCACTACACATCATCCAAGGCCCTTCAGATGGAATGGATTCATAATCTCTGCCCTCTTCCACACTCTCTGAATCTCCTCTGCCAAATATTCAGCTATAAATCTTGAGAGCCTGGCTTGAGCAGTTTGCCCTGGACCTGCTGTAACGTCTAGTAGATGGAAGAGAAATGAACGGAAAAATGTCCAGACTCACTCACCAGCTCAATGTGCGTTAGTTGCTGTGCCAGAACAAGTGGGTCACAGCAGACACTCAAGATGTCCTTCTGCGATGACTGAGGTTTAGTTTTCAGGATTGTGCCTTTGTCGGTCACAGGCTGGCGGAACTTCTCTCGAATCTCCTGGTACTGATTACGTGCAGCAAGGGTCATCAGCAGATTTTGAGTCATCTGGCTAATGATCTTCTTGACAGTTCCATTCTCCTAAAGCACAAAGAAGACTGTTTTCTTGTTGCTGGGAAAATGTTCCTATTACCTGTTAGTTAGAAGCATGCTTTAGGAACCTCTTGTTGTGAGGTAAGAAAATGACCAAGTTCAGTGTGTTCTCTTAATTGAGTTTTAAATGATTTAGATGTGGAATAGTGTTAGGTTGCTAAAGTGAGAAAGAACCCAGCTTTGTCTTTTTAAATCTCTGAAGGTTTCTTCTATCTGACCAGGTCTAGCCTGTGAGGGACATAAGCTGGGAATCCACTATGTCCACAAGACAGGCAAAGGGTCTCCAGACTCTTGCAGCAAGACTGACATTCTCCTTTTCTCCTGAGCACTGCAAAAACCTGGATAACGTAGAATAATTGTATTTCTACTCCCTCCCCACAGGTTTTAGGGGTCCTCTGAAAATGTTGTTGCAGTCCTTAATTATCTTAGAGATGCTGCTGCCAAATCTATCTTTACGGTGAGAAAGGGGAAAAGAAATGCCTATCTGAGTCACACACAGGGAGAGATAGTTGTGAACTAAACATTATTGTCTCTTGTTCTCTCACGTGGCTATCCTTTGGTAACACATGAGAAAATAGCCTGATGTGAAACAAAAATCAAAATAATGATTAATTTAATGACTCCTAACCCTACATATAGCTCAGTGGTTTATGTACAATGGTGCCTCACTTAACGACAATAATCCATTCCAGGAAAATCGCCATTAAGCGAAAACATCGTAAAGCGAAAATAACAAGCCCACTGAAATGCACTGAAAATCTTTCAATGCGTTCCAATGGGCTTAAAACTCACCGTCCAGCGAAGATCCTCCATACGGTGGCCATTTTCACTGCCTGTATAGCGGGGAATCCGTCCCTAAACAAAGCGGGGAGCCATTTTATTTACCCGGTGGTCATTTTGAAACCACCGATCAGCTGTTGAAAAAGCATCGTTTTGCAAAAAATCAGTTCCCGAAGCAGGGAACCTATCATCGCAAAGCGAAATCCCCCATCTGCAATTGCAAAAAGATCGTCTTAAAGCGGATTTGTCATAATGCGGGGCAATCGTAAAGCGAGGCACCACTGTATCTGGCTGTGGAGCTAGAGGCTGGGAGTTCAATTCCCCACTGTGCCGCCTTGTAAGGGGCTGGACTCACGGATCCATAGAATCCCTTCCAGACCTGCAGTTCTAAGGCTGGTGTTGTTGTTGTCCAGATCTGTTGTTGTCCAGATAAACAGAACATAAAAAATACAGGAAAAGCTGGAGGCATCAAACCACGCCAACTTTCCTTGTGGGAGGGAGGGAGACTTCAGGGATCAAAACAGAAGTAATTTTGCTGCGTTCCATGTTATCATTGTAATGTGTTGTGTGCCTGAAGTCCTGCTGAGGAACAACCATTTTCCTTCCAAGTTGGAATCAAATTTTAGGCTTCATGGTTCTGTATAATCAGAGATGACATTGCCACAACTGGATGAACATGCTTTAGCTCTCCTTGCTGACACAACAGATGCTAATTTGAACTGTTGCTCCATTGTGATCTCAAGTGCATAGTTGAGAACTTTGGTAAATGCCTGCTTGCATAGACACAACCTTTAATATTGCACAGTAGATTGAGATGCCCAACCCTGTCTATGCAGTATACCTGAGCCTCCTTTTTCCTAGTTCCTGAGGCTGGCATATCCCTTATCAGTGCCAACTTGAGAAAGCCTGAATATTAATTCTTTAGAAATCAAGGAGAGATGGGAATAGTATAAACTCTTTTCTAAAATACCAAGCTGTGACTTGATATTTTACCAGAGTGTATACATATCAGGACAAAAGAGTGGCACATTGAAAGGCCTGTTAAACATTTGGGTTCCTTCACACCTGAGAGAAAGCTGCCTCTTTCCCCATACTCAATGACACTGACAAAAGGTTGTTTTGACATGACTACTTTGTTTCCACACTTTGGTTGCTCTAGCTGGCTGATTACTGTTTCTGCAGTTAGAGAACTGTAGCCCTGTATCAAGGTGAAGACTATAAAGAAATACAGACACACACAGACAATGATCAGCCATGACCAAATCAAGGAAACAGAAGAGAGGGGCATTCCATCATTTTGGGAAAGCATTGTGCAGGTAATTAAAACAGAACATAAAAATAATGCCCATTTGTTTGCTTTCAGTATAAGGTTTGTAAAAACAGGTCTCCATACGCTTCTAAAAATGTTAATCATATCCTTTTCCTCCTCAGGCTGTGACATCTTAATGACATGCAGGAAAACAACATTGCTAACATACTAGGACTTGTCAGGCTACTCTTGACAACACCTTTAATGGCCAAAGCATCAACTACATAATCATCCTGCAATCCTGCTCAAGTTGTTGCTCTCAAGTCTTTCGCCATTCAGATTTTGTATATGCACAGGCACAATCACTCTTACAAGGCTATGGCCAGAACCACCTTTTGGAACAACAAACAACATTTCTTCCCTTGCTATTCGCCTTAGAGTTTGGAAAAGTTATTCTTCTTCCTCTCCTACCCAACCCCACCATCAAGGCCCCTGTAGCACCTTTTCTGATCTCTGCTTCTCCCTCTGCTTGCCTAACCATTTTCAAGTGCAGGGAAGACTGTCACTGAACTGAGCTGGATAAACAGGTATAAAGTCATGCTAGAAATTCCAGGGAACGAGTTATGCCTTTCATTTTCTGTTAATGTTTCCAACATCCAGTTCTGTTTCCTCAGTGTTAGAGTTCTTCACATTTACTTTTCATTGCTTGTATTTTTAATTCAACGGCAGCCACATGTGAAGTTCCCCCCTGGCATCACCACTTAGGTCGTACTTCCCCAGACAGTCAAAAAAAGCTGCTTGAAAGGCATTCCATAATTGCCCTGGGAAATTTCTAAACTGTCGTGGAATATATTTTCACACAAGGCCAGTCAGAAAATATCAGGCTAACCACATTAAGGAATATTATGGAAGTTTCTGCTGCTAGGCCACCCAGGTTGGAACCTCACAACAGAATATTGCAATGTGTCCTGCTTCCTAAGAGGAAATGATGTTGCTCAGGGCTGTGGTCTGATGTCATTCCTGTTGCACAACAGAGCAGCACAACAGGACATCAGACACTCTTCTATTACTACTGAGCATGCTCAGACGTTACTAGGAAGTCCCTGAAAAGGTGAGAAGCAGACACCTCTGATCCTGTCTGAATGTTTAGGAGAAAGTGTGGCCAGCTGCTATTGTCTTTCATTGCTGCTACACCAATATAGCAATACATATACCAATAAATATTCACAACTTGACACTGACAAAGAGAAATTATAGCCTGGTAGCAGTGGTGGTGGCTCTTTCACCTGCATGACTGTTCTTCTTTCTTACCTCGTCACACTGTGTGATCCTGTGAGCAATTTCCTTGAGCTCTTTCATAGACTTCTCATCCTGGAAGTCATAAGGGAATGTTTCAGTCCATTCTTTGAGGAGCTGAATAATCTTGGCAGCAAAGGACTTCAACTTTGCCTGGGAAAGAACACGGAATGATAAATCAGTTAATAAGACAGAGTCCTTCCTTAAATATATCACAACGCTGTCTTTATTCCCCTATATCTTTTCAATATTCTCAGAACAGAATGTCTAGCACCTCCCTTCTTTGCGGTTGTTTCTCTAGGTGGACAGTGACTTGTCTGCCGAGGAAAGGTTGCTCTCTGCATAAAAATCAGGTTCTTAGAGCTTATGTAAAGAGCCTGCCTGTGAGCAGGCATATCACTCTTCCATTGAAGAAAACGGACACTGAAGAGGGTAGGGGCTAGGTCTTTCTCTCTCCGGGCAAGTAATGACAAAGACTTCTGGGTAACTGGATTATGGCCCCCAATGCCAAATCAATGCTGCATCAGTAAGAGCATATAAGAGCCATGAAAAGTTTACCCCTTGGACTAGAACCTCAGCTGGTCTGACAAATCTTCCTCCCTCCCTTCCAAATATGTCAGAGCACTAAGAAAATACAAAAAGACAGCAGGTATATACAAATGCTTAGCCCATCATTCTCGAGATTATGTAACTTTGCACTGGGATAGATACTGTACGTGTGGGCAGCTTATTTGTCTCAAGGGTGCAAGTAGCAGTAGTAAAAGCAAACCTTGCAAAAAAAAAAATGTCTGCCAGGTGCAGAGAGGATTCTGTCAAATAATGGGGGAAGAATCCCAAAGCTCAGGCATCATCGTAAAAAAGGCCTGGGATTCAGTCCCTCTTCTCCATTTTGCAAGGAATGAGAATCCCCTAAGCAGAACCAGGGATAAGTCACAAATTCACTGGTTAGAGTTCACAATCTGTATGAGCATGCCCAGTTTAGGCACCCTGAACCTTAATGCAGACCCAGAAGCTATTTGTACCTTAATGAACTTGCTATGCAATTCATGCACTGTTCAAAAAAATATATCCATGGTGAAAGGTGCCCATTTGGGAAACAAATGCATATACAGTATAGGTTTTACAGAATTGAAAAATGCATACAAAAGGTGTACATTTGAAACACACACACACACAGAGAGAGAGAGAGAGAGAGAGAGAGAATTAAATACCTAAAACTGTTCATGTGAGGTTTGCAATTTGATACAGCCTTGAGTCAAAATGAGTTCTGAAACAGAAACTGGAGAATTCTGATGAACTCAGATTTGGCAGATCCACTCATTCCCCTGCAGAGCTGCCTCTGAATATTAAAACTGATAAGAGCAACCTATTGTCAAGGTGTTACTCCAGATATCAGAAGCTTAGGGCATTTACAGTTTTAAATATCAAAACCAGCACTCTGAATTGGGCCTAGAAAAAAACTGGCAAAAGGGGAAAGGAAGGAGGTGGCTTTGCATATGCTCTGCATATAAATATCCAATCCTTAATATTTCCAGATAAGACTGGGAGAGAATCTTGCCTGAAAATCTGGAAAGCTTCTGTGTCAACAATACTGAACGAGATGAAATTAATGGCTTGACTCTGCATAAAGCAACTTTTTGTGGACTGCAACCACCACAAATTCTTGCAGCGGATGTGCATCAATATGTATCCAACTGAAAATATGGGACCAGTCGCTTTTTGAAGTTCTTTTCATATTTGCAATCCAGTGCATTCCTTACGAAAGAGATAAATGCATCTTTCTATGCAGTAATCAAATATCATGGGGAAAGATCATTCCTCCAGCATTATTGTATTTGGTTTGAACCTAATTTTGGTGATCAACGAAGGAACTATCAGCAAATTCCAGTGGGGCATTGTTGGCGAGAGATGGAAATTTTACTTCCTTCATTACTGAGTCATTTTAGCTTCATCTAGACTTTGGAGGGTAGGGACTGCCTAAATCCTCCTTGGTCACAGGGTATCCTATTCATTACTTCAAATGGCTCTTTTGTTGTTATTGTTGAACCATCCTACTTGTCTATATTAGCATGGCTGAATTACATTTAATTAAAATCTGGTTCTCAGGGAGGGGGCATGGTTTAATTTTGCTTTGAGTAGGAACAGAAATATTGCTCTTAATAAAGCTCTGACTAGTAGCAATTTCCCTTTGTTATTCTAGCCACATCAACTAAAAAAAGGGCCTGAAAACTCTTCTCCAACCACACCCAGCCACTGTAAAGTGAAAAGGGTTACTCCTCCTGTGATTCCCCCCACAACCTGTATGGGAATTTACAGTGGTGCCTCGCTAGATGATGATAATCCGTTCCACTGAAATAGCTGTTTAGCGAAACCATTGTCTAGTGAAAAGCATTTCCCCATTGGAATGCATTTAAATCTGTTTAATGCGTTCCAATCGGGAAGAATCGTCGCTGTCTAGTAAAGATCGGCCACAGGAAAGCTGCTTTGCGAACCGCCGATCAGCTGTTTAAATCACTATCTTGTGAAGCTTAGGTCCCGAAAACACCTGTTTGCAAGCGCGGAGGGAGCTGTCAAAATCGTCGTCTAGCGAAAATCAGTTTGCGAAGCAGGCACCAAACACTGTCCAGTGAAATTCCCCCATAGGAATCGCTGTTTTGCGAATCACTATAGTGATCGCAAAAAGCCAATGTCTAGCGAAAAACTATCATGTGGGGTAACTGTCTAGCGAGGCACCACTGTACCGAGTTTTAGGGGATCCCAAGCAAGCAGATTCCTTCCTCTTCAAGACAAAGAGGAAGATACTTTCTGAGAATTTCCCTCCAGAATGCAACGTTCTACACAAGTCATCATTGGTTCCCCAATATGTAAGTTGGTTTTAACAGCTCAGTGACTATTGATTCTTCACAACTTACTAAAGGGCATTTCCTCAATTTTTTAAAGCAATTCACTAGGGAAATGAATTTATAATCTTATAACTCACCATTAAAAGAAATCTATTGCAAGGCAAAGCTGTTCACTAACACAGCAAATGCAAAGTCTGAAACATGAATTTGCAACTGACAGTTCCTGGATCAGATCCAGCTGCTTTGGGTGTTACCATCTCTCTGCTGCTACTAAAAAGGAGCCTTTCCAGAAAGTGGGGTTTATTGGGAGCAGTTGTTTTTTGGTTTATTAGAGGGAGGTGTATGTTAGGGGAGCACTGGCAGTCACCCCCATGTCATCTTCTAACATTCCAGAGGTTCACACATGCAGGCATATCCTTTAATTTCACTCTATTTGATTACTGCATACTTGATGACTGGCAGCTAAATGTGTAATTGAAATGAAACAAAAATAGAAGAGGCTAAGTGAACCATAATAATTTACAGCCGAACAACATGGTTGCCCTATATACAAGTCAAAGAAAATGCTAGACATTTATATACAATGATGTAGTGTACAAAGATGGTTAAAGGTTATGCAGGACCCTTGATTGCCCTTACCAGGGCCCATGCAAGAGCCTCCAGGAAATATACAGGGCTATTGCAAGGTATTTTGAACAGCCAAATGAGTATGATTTTGGCATTACTCCTATTTCATATCATTATTGTTAGTTCCTGAACACCATGAAATAGTTCCCAGTCAACAACTATATGATGGTACCATAAACAAGCAACTTAAAGAACAGGCAACAACACTGATGTTGGCAATTGACCCTGGGGCCTTCTGAAAGTTCTGGTTTGAAAAAGTTGCGTTACAGAAATGAACATGATATTTATAACTATCAAATACAGGTCCTTCCACATAAATGAACTAAGTTTATGATCAGGGGAAACACTGCATTTCTGAACAGTACAAGTTCACTATCTTTATTTGGCATGATATGCTTATAGATATCCAAGTTATGAAACAGGGCCTCTCCTTACAGCTCAAGAAGGAAATGTTAATATAATAACTGGGTTCCATTTTAGTGCCCAGCTCCCAAATATGGCAGTGAAACTTTCACTAAGGAGATTTCTTACCCACTGTTCAAAGACTTGCTCCCAGCTTCACAAGGATTCAAAATGAGTTGCTAAAACAGAAGGGAGTGGTTTGCTTTTCCAAAAAAAAATAAAAAAAAAATCTGTTTACTTTTGTTATCTTTGACAAAGAGTCCCAGCAGAGCAAATTTCAGAGAAGTGAAACAGCGCTGCTTTATTATTACTGGCTGTAGTATTGAAAGCACGATTGCCCATCATTCAGGTTCTAATGTTCTAGCATTGTAGCAAATGCCATGATTCTAATTCAATATTCTATTCTGGCTCTTTCCTACAGAAGACAATTTTGCTTGAGGGGTTTACTTTTCTTTCTGTTTTACACCCTTGTAAAGTTAATTTGCTTCTTTATGGAAGCATGCAACAGTCCACTGACATAATTTTTTAAGGACTGATGTTTTCAAACTTTTGAGACCTTCGCCTGGCCAAACAAACCAGCAAGGGCCTCCCAACTCCTGCTGCACTGGGATGAAGTTTGTTTTTAATTTGCCAGCTTGTGTTTTGGAACATTTTCTGTGAGATTTTGTTAGATTTTTACTAGTTGGTGACGTCATGAAGTCAGGAATGTTGTCTTGGAGCATAGAGCCACAACACTTGTCCCCTTGCCAGTATTTTTGCTCACATGCTACTTGCCAGTGTTCAGTTTTATATGTTTATACAGATATTTTATCACGGTGCATTAGAGGGATGTGGATGTAAACATGCCTCAATTATATTTCGTAGTAGTACTTGACAGTACCACAACTTTTCAAAGCATATCATTACTAAGTAAATGTATTGCAGAGCTTTGAAAAGCTTTGGGAGTGTAATCCACAGAGTCTCCACCCAAGATAGTTGCTATTTTAGCTGGGAAACTTTGGAATATGTAGTCCGAAGAAACCCTTTGTCAAACTTTCAGCTTTTGTGTTGAAAAAAATGCAGTCTACAAAGGAACGGTGCGATTGACTGATGCAAAAGTGGCGTCCCTCAGAATAACTGTTAATGTGTCGGAACTATGTATATCTATCAAGAGTTCAGAAGTAACTGATTATAAACAAGATGTATTTTGCAATTTATTTTTCTTTGAAATAACTGGGGCATATCTCAATTATACTACAACTGTAACGTTACAAGTTCTTGTTTTGCAATGTAACCAACCTGCCCCCACCTCCACCTTTACATTTACAGCTAGCCTGCCTGTGTTTTTTTTTTTTTATCACAGGCCTAATGTTATATTATTCTGATGCAGCTCTTTTAAGTACTTAAAACACCAGATAGCAGAAAAAAACACAACTATTTAAAATTGTACTGACAAAAGCCACGCACAGGGCAGAAGAGAGACACCCGTAATTGCAACTTGTTACTTTTTAAAAATAACATTTAAACATACTCAATAAGATGGTTAGGGTGAAATTCACAGACAACTGTATCAAGGAGGACTGTCATGACCATGTTGCTGCAGCAACCACCCCAACAACGCTGTGTGAAACAGCTGGCCCTGAAGCTTTCACTAGGAAACCGGACTTATTTTCAGCATGCAACAGCACTTTAAGATTCAACTGTGATGCCTACAGCAGGAACAGTGACGTTGCACAGGCACAACGGGAAGGAAAGGCCAAATTAGCAAGTACAAAGGCAGCACATGCAAAATCAAAAAGCAAGAAGGCACACTGGGAGACTAGGGGATTGTGTCCATCAGTCCTACGTCCAACAGCCAGAAGGAATCCATTTGGCAACAGTTTAAATAGATTTCAGTGTGTGAGAAAAAAACAACAACACTGTTACTGAAACCAGCAAAAAGCTTTGTCACATACCTTGTCTACCTCAGCTCCAGTCTCCAGTTGCTGCTTCTGTTTAAGGCAGATTTGCCCCACTTTAGCTAGGAGCTCATAGGGATGAATGAAGACTCTGGAACTTAGCAGGAAGGTGAAGATATAGGTCTTCTGTGTTGGGAAGATGAGAAAGAAAAAGAAAAATTGTCACATAAATAGTGATATTCATGTGTTAGGTTGCAATGACTGTGTTTCCCCTCCTAAGGATGAAATCAGAGATTTTTTTTTTTACAACCAGAAGCCAAATCAACAAAGAAGTTTAAATATACACACATACAAGTTACATATTCCCTTCCTAATATCATGTGCAAACTTTTGTGTTCTCGGGTATACAGGTTGACCTTAATCATAATTTACTGAGAAATAAGAGATGGTTCATGTACATATAGAGATCAGCCTGTTTATCTACACCTGTTCTAGCAGGAGATGCAAGGCATTTTTATATGTTCAATGTAGGGGCACATGTATATCCTTGCTTGTCTTATTTTTGTGTGTGAGGACCAGAAACTGCAAAAATTGTTCCCCTAACTTGTGAAATGGCAAGATGTTTTCTGGCAATACTAATGATGTACTAGTCCTGGTACAAGTACTAATAATATACTTGGCATGTTTTCTGCAGTTTGCACTGAATTATTACAGTTACTGTCTTGTCGCATGGAATTTTAAAATTTGCAGCAATTATTCTTGTCTTTCTAGGGTGTTCCTCAAACAAAATTACTACTGTTCTTTTACTAGAATGTAATTTGTAGTGTAGTTAATAAAAGCTTGACAGTGATTATGAGGGCATTTGCTGAGCAGAGTCTGAGCAGGCACCATCTTGATTCCTTGTCAGTAGTGAAGAATGTACAAATAAGCTTGCCTGTGTACTTCCTGGTTAGACTTCATATTTAGCCCATGGAGGTTGAGCAAAGGTTACGTTACCTCTGGCCAGATTCCTATTAGCAATTACAGAGTGTTACTATTCTATAGGTAGTATGTTCCATGGCTGCTTTTGAGCAATCCTCATTAAAAATAGTGGGTTTTATGTGTACATGAGTAGTGAAAGCCTCCATGCACAACGGGTACAAAAAGATAACCATGTGTGGAACAAGCTATTGTGCACATGGAGAAAAAAAGAGAGAATTTTGGCTATTGCTCTCACAGAGGTATTGAACAAGACTTCTCAATTTCACTTCAGAGCAATACCAGCTTCCATGGTATGTGGTTTGCATTTTGTTCCTGGGAACTACATGGAGTATGGGAAGAAAGAGGCTGGAGAATTGTTTATGAAAGTGTTGGCAATGACACAGTGACAGGAAGCCTCCTAGAACAGTGGTCCCCAACCTTGGGCCTCCAGATGTTCTTGGACTTCAACTCCCAGAAATCCTGGCCAGCAGAGGTGGTGGTGAAGGCTTCTGGGAGTTGTAGTCCAAGAACATCTGGAGGCCCAAGGTTGGGGACCACTGTCCTAGAAGATAGCATAGCATGCCTTTTAGTACAGCAACTTCCATGGGATTACTTTATGGCGTGAAAACTGCTGCTTACAGGGGTCCCTGCTGAAGATCCTTCCCATATGAATAAGGCCCCATGTTCTGCATGGGAGAATGCTTTATGATGCAGTGGGAAACAACTGCTCTCTTGATTTTTTTGGAATGATGCTCCTATAATTGGAGTTTTAGGCCAAAAATATCAAGAGGGTGATAGTTTCCCACCCTATTTTATGCCATAAGGCTCTGAGAAGGAGCCATGCTACAGATGCTTCCAGCAAAGCTGTGAGAGTGCCTAACCTTTTGGCCATTTACACCTCAGCAATTTCCATGTGGCACACCTAAACTAGAATCCTACTGATGTTCATATAAGGTTTGTGCAACTTTTTGTAATTAATTGAGGCAAACTGATTAGGTGCCAGGGTGTATCTCAGGGATATGTTTTCTCCGAGTATGCAACTAAGATACACCCTGGCACCTCATCATGGCAGCAGAATTAGACACAACAAATTATGCAAAGTATACACAAATACCAAGAGGAATCTGGCCATTGTGACCAATAAGGATGCATAGTTGTTTTCATTTGCCAACAGGAATAGCCTACTTTTGTTTTTCTATAAATGTGCACCATGAAGTACTGTGTGGCCATCATTTAGTAGTAAACATATCACATATATATATATTTAAAAGACTGTACCATGCCTTTTAATCTAAAAAATAGTTTTCTGTATCAGTTAATCCACAACAAATGTTACATCAAAAGATGAATTACATCCTACATTCTCAGAAAGGAAGACAGAATGGCATATAGGAGGAGGATTTACTTCCTTTTATCCTATCAGACACTTTATTAGATAGATTAGGGTGAAACAGAATGAATAGGCCAAAGTTTCCCAGTGAGTTTCATTACTGAGCCAAAATTAGAATCCAATTCCAATAATCTCTCTGTTGGATCACACAGCTGGCTCCTATTCCTTTCCATTTCAGGAAGAACTGCCTCCCCTGTCCATTTCCAGTAGGTGCTTAAAAGACGAAAAAGGAAAGTGTGTCTATTTCAGTAATTACTAATGACTCCCTTATTTCTGGATTCTCAAAGCGCTTGTTGAGCACAAATGCCACACAAAAGCCATATGACCAGGGTTGAATGCAACAGTGAAACAGAACAATGGGACTCCCCTTCAACTTCATCACTTCTACTGCTGTATTTATTTGAAGTCTCTTGTTTATATTTTTACTCACAAAAATCTTCTATGTAGCTCTTCCAAACCAAAACCACACTTCTATTTCTCATGCTTTTCTTACTGCTTTCCAGTCTCTTTTTTCCCACAGTCATTGCTGCAACAAGTCTTGGCTCAGTCAACCTCTGTAAGCTAGTGATTAGCTCTGGAAGTCAGTAGGAGCCCTCCTTGCTTAGGACTGGAATCAATCCCAGGAATTGGAGCCATATTTTATAAATTATCACTGATGTACAGATCTGTTGGCTCAAACTTGAATTCATGTCTTTCCATTCATCAGGCCCCAAATTGTAATTTGGGCCTCTTGCAAAGAATGCCAAATTTGATATCGTGGAAAATGAATTTAAGGGAAAGAGCCCTATAGTCTATGCCTATATCATTTAGAACGCAGTTTTGAAATTTATATTGTCATTTACTTTGTAAACCTATGTTTACTGAAAAGTAAATTCTACTGGTATCTTGTTGTGAGTTGTTTTAAGGAGAAATGCACAATATAAACACAAAAAACAAATATCTAAACAAACAATATCTCAGAACAATCTGTATTACGAGGCGAGTGAGTTTAACGAGTTTGTTTAGAGATGACTTATTAGATCTGCTGCTGATACGTGGAAGGTCAGATGTCTATTATAGATATTTAAAGCAGAGTTTTATGTTAAAGTAAGTCAAAACCTTTGGCCACAGACAAGAAGAGAGTCATACTTCAATCTGTCTGCTCACATAGAGACAGCCAAGCATGATGTGACAAGTTATTAGTCTGGTTAACAGGGACAAGACAAGAGAATACAGTGGTGCGTTCGTAAGTAGTAAGTGATTCACTCCTTTTCCTGTCCTTTTCCTTTGCATGCAATTTGTTCTAAATATAGAATGGAACTATATGCAGTGTACAAGGCGGGCTGCAGCAAAAACACAGCCCTAGTTGCATTCTCTCTTTCCTTCCATAATGTCTAGTTCAGGAAATGAAATATACTAACATATATTTCCATTGCATTGTAAACATTTGAATCCAATTCCAATAATCTCTCCATTGAATTACATAGCTGGCTCCTATGGAATGTTCTAACATCCTAACATATACTTTCCCACTCCCACTTTAAATCAGGAGGATAAAAAAAAATCACATTGTAAGGACCTTAGAATACAATATAAGTTGGGGGAAAATACAATATAAGTTATGGAGAGGATACTTGTGACTGGGATGTCATCTTGAGTGGCATATCCCTATTCTCCCCTTCTTATTTCAATTGATCCTGTAGTGTATACAGTGCACCTGAGAAATGAGGGCACTAAAGTTGAAATAAATGCATAGTCATTCCAACCATCTGTGTTTATCAGAGATAGCACCCATATTATAGTATTTATCACTGGGAAATCAATGGTTTGGATCCCACTTAAGAGAAATGACATTTAAGGATCAAATTCATGTTAGGGAAGCACATTTCCTGTTTATCAGCACATAGTTGTCACACACACCCAGTTCCATTGTGATGGACAGGAGTGGTTACTGACCTGTCCGTCACAATAGTCTCTTGCCCAAGAAATGCAACTTGCAAATTAGGCCCTTTTTAAAAGCTTTTAATTAACCACAAAACAAAACACACAAGAGAATGAGGTTACGAAAAGCATGTGCTAGACCAGTGTTTTCCAACCTGGGGGTTGTGACCCCCAAGAGGTTTGCAAAGTTATCTGTGGAGTCTCAGGTCACCTTATATGGGCTGTAGTCTTTGTTAGATCATTCCTTCCTTGACTGTTTGGAGCAGTTAAAGTTAGTGTGGTGTGTATGTATGAGAAATAGGCCCTTTGGGGGAGAAAGAAGCCTCTACATTTTGAGAAGGCGTGACTTTACCCCTTTAAAAACGCCTTTTTATGAAAACATGGCAAAGGAGTTGCAGGTTACCCGGCTATTAAAAAAGGGGGTCATGACCAGAAAAAAGTTGGGAGCCACTGTGCTAGTCGAAACAGATGTCTTCTTCCAATTAAAAAAGCACTGCTTCCAGATATGAACTAAATGCATTGTCTACTTGAACCCAAGTTGCATCACATTTGTCTTGTTGGTTTCAGTGAGGCTTAACACTAACAAGTTTCATGTAGTCTCATCCAATGTCTCTATTTTTCCTTTTAGGGAAGACGTGGCATATTCCAGTGTAAAACTGTGCTGGTGTACTAGAATTCCCCTCCCACCCATAAGTCTTAAAAATTTAGGGCCAAAGGGATCATTTACACCATGAAAGTGTGAACTGTCTTCTTACTTGTTCGAAAACTGAAAGGCAGCCACATGGGATTGCCAGCTGGAGCAGAGGAACAGCCAAATTAACCCCTTCCCCCCAGTTATGTATCTGCTCGAAATCATCCCCATGCTACTTTTCTTCCAACAGAACAAAATATGTAGGGAACCTCACATATTTTCCCA